CCTGTTACCTGAGAATCAGTCCCAGCCTGCCCCTCTCATAACCCATATGCCTGATGCAATCCAGCCTACTTTAGGAAATTAATCCAGTGCTGCCTAACAACAGAACATGAGAATCACATTCAGATTCCTGCAGGAACATAAAATTACAGGAGAAATTTGCCTTGAATAAAGACTGGCATATGAAGGATACACAGCTTCTCTCCCAGCATGAAGGGAAAATGAGAAATCCTTTCCATTACTCGGTAAAACCAATTTATCCAGAGTACAGCCAGATCCCTTGCGTTAAATATGGTTACATTTCAAGTGTTCATCTCCAATACTGTAACACAGAACATCCCCAGAGACAGACAGACTTTCAGAACTGTACAATAACTGCATATGCAATATGGGAGTTCAGTATGAAGAGGGTGACATTACCATGTCAAAAAAACAGCCATCATAGTCATTTTGCCAACAGCTTCCAGAGTCCATGCCCAACTTCAAAAGCAGCTCAGATCACCTTGCCATTTGTGCCAAAACCAACTTCTTCACCTTCACCTTCCTTCATTTATCTTTCATCTTATAATAAATTGTGGATTCTGTAAGCTGCATTTAATAAGGCTTTTCCAGTTTAAGACCTTCACACAGATGAGATTACAGACCGTAACAGTATAATATTTTATATTCACACTTGAATTTGATAGCTCTCCTTTTACATACAAATTCAGAAATAAATAACAGTGTTAGTTAAAAGCAACAAGACTTTTACTGTCTTTTCTTGGATTTTCTTTGCAAAAGAGACACTAAATTACTAAGCACTTACTTCCAGGTAAGTAAACAGAAAACATGTATCTTCCACAAGCAAGAATGAAGCCTCTAACTACAGGTACTTTTTTTTTCTCCCTCTCTTCTTAATAGAGAATATAAAGGTACTTTTTGGAAACAGTTCTTTTGTATAGTATTACAAACACAGCAAGCAAAATGAAACTAAATAATCCTTCACCTGTTTTCTACGAGTAAGTCAAACAGACTGTCAACAAACTGCTTGTGGTGACATAATACTTAATTAAAAGATTAAGAACACATTCTTTTCTTGGAGGCTATGCAGCATAAAGCTTTTCTGCCCTTTTTCAATCATCAAGCAGTTTTATTCCAGATGATTAATGGTGATTTTATTCAAGAGTCCCTTCCCTGCTACATGTGCCTCTGATATTTCTACGTCAAATTATTACACAGGACAATGCATGATGGTATTAGTCATTAGGGTGGAACCCAGTGTGGCTTTGCTGCATCACAGAAGGAAACAAAGTTTTAACAACAGGTACTTCAGAGGGTACCAGTAAACTAGGAATCTAGTTTTATTTTAGCACTGAGAATTTATGAGGTGTACCAAATTGAACACACAAGCATTTCCCTGTGTCTAAATTAGGCACAGGGCTAAAACATGACACAGCACAACTGGCACCCTTTGAAACACACCGTCCCAAAACCAGGAGTAAATCTCAGCAGTCATTTCAGTCATGGCTTCATCAGCAGCTAGCCTAAAAATGACAAATGGTACAAGCACAAACATATATATAAGAAAGGGGCTTAAAAATAAATTATTTCACATAATCTAGTAGATAATTACCAAAAAATGCTGAGCTCCAGTTACTCAGACCAGACAAGAGCTCACAACTCTCTACTACTACTTTCCATTATATCAACCATCAACAGGTAAATATATTAATTGTTCTCATATACAGATAATCTTCCAGATGAAGAACTGACAACATCTTGGATAGGACTCACCTTCTTCTGATTTAAAATGTTACTATCCTTTAAGAGTTTCTGATACAAAATGCAGCTGAGATAAAACAAGCTCAGTCAGTTACAAAGTGTAACACTACTAATGCACCATGGTATTTTGAACCAATCTGCTGTCCTTCTAGAAGGGAAGATCTAAATCTAAATTAGAGCAAAGATATTGTGTTTCCCTTTTGATGTATTTCTATGTTTCAAGTACATTGCAAGCTTAAGGGACTCTGGAAAGACCTTGTAGCTTTCAAAAATTGAAAAAACACAAACCAAATCCAGTCTGGACACACGGTCTGTCCTTTAAAAATTCCCATTCACAGGAAAGACAGCATTTCTTAACATTTAAGAAAAAAGCCTTTGGACAAAAGGATTTGGAATAAAATCTAACGTCTTGAGAGAGGGGAAAGCCCCCAGTGCTCAGGTTCTGATGGAGACCTCAGCACAAGACTACTGACTGCAAAAGGTCATTAGGGACACAGAACATGAGCTTATTCAAACCGAGTCAGAGGGTCAAAGCATTAAGCAATGCACTTGCATACCAGAGAGGATTACCCACCTAAGTAGTTAACACACAACAACCGCGAGCTCAGGCTCGTATCGATCAACTGCACTAATCCCAAGGGTCGATCGCAGAGTGGTATGTGCTGCAAGATCAACAGCCTTGCCTTCCCAGACATCAGCTTAAGCACACACAATGCAGGGATGAGAAACCAACCTTTGATGCATCCTAAAAAACCTACTTTTTCAAACAAGAGAACTATTTATAAATTGTAAACAACCCCTCTTTGCCTTTCCTTCAAAGAACTGTTTTCACAAACAGCTTCAGAGCTCTCAAATTATGGCTCCACTAGACCTTCCTTATGCTGACATTGATTTGAATTGCACTGATCAATTTTAAATAGATAATCATGCCCTTAGGTAGAGATCCTTGTAAAATGACAGCTGAAACTCTGGAATTTGGGATTGAAGAGACTGGGAGAGATTATGCTAGAAACAAAATACCAGAAAACTTAGACAGAAGGCCTGTGTAATAAGGAAAACTAAATTTCTCAAAGACCAATTTATCAAAATATTCAACCCCAGCATCAACTGTAAAATATGGGAACAGACTGCTGTTAAAAACTCATAATACAGAGACTGGATATGAACAACAATTATCAATTCACTAAATTGGACAATGAAATTTTTGATCCCTACAGTTTGAGAAAGCAACAGGAAAGCAACAGGAAACCATAAGCTTACACAAATTTAAAAAGAGGATGAGTACGGTGTCACCTTCTGTGTCATTACAGCACTTCTGCTACCAGCACCAGCCAAAACAGCTCCAGCTGTCACAGTGTGACAGATGAGGCTGGATTGGTCCAGAAACCTGACTCCATTCTGTCAGTTACAGGTTTTTGTCTCGAGGATAACAAAACATCATGTGATTAATGGAGATGGAGCTCTTCCAAGTGTTTTTGATGATTTTTCACCAGTACAATTTTTCTGTCCATCAACATAAACTATACAGGAAATCTCCAGGCTGACCTGTATACACTCTGAATATTCTGAAAATGTAAGTTCTCTTCATTAAAGAGAAACTAACACTTACAGAGTCACATAACTTAGATCTGAGAGTTTCTTGGTTTTCCCTATAAAGTTTCATGTCCCTTTGCTTCAGCTCATGCTTGAATAGCACTTTAGTAGCAGAAACTCCTTCCCTGACTCCTTTGTTCCAAAGGGCATGCACAGGAAAAAAAAAACAAAAAATAAAAGGAGATATTAAACATGCAGGCTAAGTACAGGTGGTGAGGCAAGGAAAGAACCATCGCTTTCAGTTTTGTTTCTGAAACTAAACCCACAAATTTGTGAAAGCTGTTTAAAAATTACATACTTTCTTGTCTCTCTCGCCTTAGAATTAAGGTTTTTGCCACCCAGTGGCAACGGTAACCTTAAGAACCACTGACACATCTGAATTGCAGCTCTGTGTGTACAGGAAACTGAAGTCACTGAGCAGCAGTTCTTCGTGGTGCTGTAACCCAACGCCACTTTGCACACGACTCTGCTGCTGCCACAGGGAGCACCTTAGCCCACCCTACTGCCCGTGGCTGCTGCACAGCTACACAGATTTTCCCTACGGAGAAAAGGAAAGGAGACTAAAATACGTTTTTCCCCACTCTTGCCTGAAAAATGCCAGGAAACCAGCAGTTGCAGGAGTGCCTGCACAGGGACAGCAAGTTCCATACCTCAAGGCTGATAAGGGAAGGTGAGGAAGAGGTCTGGCTAATTGCAGCACTTCCTCTTTTTCCTCAACACCCTAGATCACAGCTGGAGTGGGAGTAAGATCCCTCTCACCAAGCTCACACAAAAGACTCTTAGTCCCTTAACAGGCTGTGGGATGGAGCAAGCCTTCCATCAGCAGCACAGCCGCTGAAGTTACATCACCAAGCACAACTCAGCTGCCCCTTAGTTTGGCAACACACACTTGCCAAAGTGAGTCATGTAGGAATATCGACCTCAAAGTGCTTAAATCTAACATGAATACATTTTACAACATGAACACATGGGCAGCTATTAGTTCCACAGCCAAGTGACAGAGTCCATCTGCTTATCTCCACCCGAATGAGACATCATCAGTGTCATAACATTTCTGTATGACCAGGCTTTTTTCACTTCTTTGGAATGTCTAATGATGTGGGGAATAAAAACAGTTGATAAGGTGGCTACTCTTTTCCATCTATTGTAATTTCTTTTACTAATTAAAAAAAAACCAAAAAACATCCTATCCGTTAGTAGGATAAATTTTGAGTTATCAAAACACAGGAAGACAGCCCATCAATTATACTAAATATAAACAAAGAAATAAATAATTGCACTGGATGTCTTACTTCTAGTAAAAACTGAGCTAAAGGGAACACAAAGTACTATCAGAAAGTTACAAATAACTAAACTGAAGTATTCTTATACCAATGTATACATGCATGGAATGTTTGCATCCCAAACTATGAGAAAGATGTCGTGTAAAGCAGAATAGATAACTGGAAAAGATCCAGAAATAGGTGACAAGCATAAAAAGAGAAGTGTAGGGCTACAACCCATGAAATAAAGATGACTGGATCTTTAGCCTACAAGGAGACAATGACAAAAAGTGAATACTCCGTGATTTAGCAGTAAAGTCATAAGCAGCATAGGGAAGATGAGCACCGTGACTTGCACAGCACAAGAGGCAGAAATTAACAAGTTACCTGAAGGCAGACTCGACACACACCACACCCCCAAAGAAAATCAGATGTTTGTTTTGGCTAGTCACTGATTTAGTTACTGTGAAGAGACACTTCCGAACATCACAGACACCAACAGCTTACTCGGATCTCAACAGCCACCGGGCAAACTCATCAGGGGTTACTAGGCAGAAAGACATTCCCTTGACTCCGGCGGTCTCGGAAACTGCTGGAAAGCAGGAGCCTGTGGGACAGGAGTGTCACCCCGCCTTGCTTCGCGAGTCCAGCCCAGGGCCGAGTGCTGGCACCTCACAGCGGCTCTTCAGAGCAGGAACGAAGGGTCTCCGTTCCCAGAGAAAAGGAAGGGGCGCGGCCCGTCCCCAGCTGCTCCTGCCCGGTACCTGCGGCGCCCGCGGTCCCCGCCCGTACCTGCGGCGACCCAGCCCCACTGCTCCACGCAGTACTTGCATCCCCCCAGTCTAGCCCGGTACCTGCGGCCCCCGGCCCCGCTGTTCCGCCGTCCCGCAGTCACCGCCCGCCGTCCCTACGGGCCCCGCTCGGCGCCGCCGGAACAGGGCGACGCCATCTTGTCTGGGCCCCGCCGGCGGGATGGCGTCATGCCGTGACGTCACCTGCGCCTGCCGGGCCAATCGGGAACGGCGGATGGTGACGCCACCGCAACAGGGAGGGGGCGGGGCGAAGGCGGAGCCACGCCTCTTCGCGGGGCGGGGCCAGGGAGTTTCCGTGTGTCGTCCGTGTCTCCGTTCCTGTCGCTGTCGCCTGCCTTTGCCAACCACTGACCCTGTCCCTGTCCCATTCCTGCCCCTCTTTCATCCCCTTACCAGCCTTTGTCCGTATTGCATCCCTAACCCTGCCCCGGTTCCATCGCTGTTCGAGCCCCTGTCCCTGTCTCTGCCCTTGTCCCTAGTCCTGCCTGTTTCCTCTCCCCTCTGTCTTGCCCCCTCCCTGCCTCTCCTGCTGCTCCTGCCACTGTCCCTATCCCTTTACCTGCCTCTGACCCTGTCCCATTCCCTGTGTCATCTCTATCCCTACCCTGTCTCTGTCACTGTCCCTTTACCCTGTTTCTGTCCCTGTGCTGCCTGCAGGTCTGTCCCCAGCTCCTGCCCTGCCCGGGAGCTCCTCCAGCGCCTCCTGCCCCTCTCGCAGCTGTGCATCGTGCCAGGGCTCCCCAAGGGGCTGGATGTAGGTGGGTGGGACACAGAGGCCATGCCATCCCACACCCTTCTGCCTCTTCCCTCAGCAGCAATGGCTACCTCACCTTCCGAAGGGACTTCGGGGACATTCCGTCTGGGTTTTCAGCCTTTTGAGCCATCCTTGTTCCGAAATGGAGGGGTTTTGTCCAAAGTGGGCGTGGTAGTTGTGTATGTGAGGGAGGATGTGGAGAAAGGAGTTAATCATGGTAAATTATGACTGTAAATGGCCAAACTGGAATTACAGCTTTTATCCTCAGAGGAAAGCCTGAGAGGTTAATTTATAATTTCTTTTTCAGTTTGCTTTCTCACAGCACCTTTATCTTTGGGGTTGGATGAAAACACTCAAGGTCATAAAAACAATGTTGTATTAGGAAAATGTGTACTGATTCCATATGACTTGAGGCAGCATCAGATGTCAGGTGGTCAGAAGCTGACATTTTCTCAAAGTCTGTCTGCATATCACATGTTTTCTCTACTCTGCAATACCACTGGCAAGTAGCAATTGCTGGGTTTGGATCACATGAAGCTTTGCCTCTGAAACATAGAAAAAGAGTGTATGAGCCATGTGGACATCAGAAAAAGACATCCTTCCACATGGGTCTCAAAGGGGTGCAGTGAAATGCAAATGCAGTATTATCTCTTTAATTCTCCAGCAATAAGTGATTTCCCAGGTGGAATGTGTGGGAAAATGACTGGGGATAAAATTAGAGAAAAACAGAGAGTTATATTCACATTCTAACAGAAGTTAGTACAGAAAACAGAGGGTGAAGTGCAGTTATGACTCTCTGGATGGGATGTGGTCAGCATGCCCAACTTCCCACACACAATCCATGTTAAAGGGGACTGAAGGGAGGGTGGAGCGGAATGGAGACACCAGGGCCAGGCTCTGTTGTAATCCTGGCAAGAGGGGGAACTCAGTAGTGCAGATAAACTGTTTAGCAGCTGAAAACCAAGGAGGAAAAGGAGATGCCTTGCTGCTGAACCAGCTACCGCGGCAAGATCACAAATGCCCACCTCCCTTCCAGAGGCTACCTCAGGTGTGACACTGACATTACCCACCTGCAAGGTACAGCTACCCCACACTGAACATGACCAGAGTTACTCAAGGTAGTGCAAAAATAGTATAAAATTAAGTTTAAAATGGAGAGAAGTTAGGGAAGGTTCCACTGTAACTTCTGGGATTGACTGACTGGTCAGGCTGAATCTGTCAAAACTATAGTCTTATGTACGGTGATTGTTTATCTTGTTTGCTCTGAATACGTTTTTGCAGCCAGATACTATCACCAGCAATATTTGCACCTCAATTTGTCAGTTTTCTATTACATTAATAAAATATTATTATTCTGTAAATTGTCCTTCAAGAGTGTTAACAGTGGGTAAAATACTCAACTGTGGGGGCCTTGGAGATGCCTTCTGGCCTCTAATGCTTTTGGTGTGCATCCCTGGATCTTTCCTGGGGTGCCAAGAGACCAGCTAAAGGCATGGGAACCCTCAAAGGGGTTTTTGTGTTTCCACGTGACCCTGAATAAGTCAGTTGAATCACCTTCTGATCCAGTGGACAGTTCAGTGAAGAGTTAGACATTAGGAAGAATTTCTTCACAGAATGGGTGATTAGACATTGGGAATGAACTACTCAGGGAGGTGGAGGAGTCGCCATTCTGGAGATCTTTAGGAAAAGACTGCACATGGCATTCAGTGCCACGTTCTGGTTGACCGGGTGGTGTTCATAGGTTGGATTGGGTGATACTAGAGGTCTTTTCCGACCTAATTGATTCTGTGATTCTGACCCTATAGTGGGACCCTGACAGACTGGTCGGTCACAAGTGTCTTGGCTTTCCTGGGGAGCTCAGAGTCTGATCAAACGCGAAGGGTTTGGGAATATCTCCGTTTCCTGGGGAGATTCCCAAACGTCCACCTTGTACTAAGCTCGCCCTGCCGCAAGGGGACGCCATACCTAGTCCCGCTGATTTCGCTGTCATGGCAACGGCAGAGGTTGCGGTCCGGTTGCTAGGCAACAAAGTGCCCGGGCGGGGCGGAGCCGCCGCCGCAAAGCTGCGACGCAACTGTCGTAAAAAGGGGAAGGGAAAAAAAAAAAAAAAAAAAAAAAAGCACCAAAAAAACTAAACCCCGTGGTGTTGTAAAATGCCGTGAGGCGCGGCCGGCGGGGCCTGAGGGACAGAGCCCGGGCCCGGTCCCGCTCCATATGCCCCGAACCGCCCCGTCCCGCTCCATGTGGGGCCGCTCCTCATCCACATCTTCCTCATCCTTCTACTATGGCCCGGAAAACAGTTAGCAGGAAGCGGAAAGCGGCGGCGGCTGCCGCCGCTGGGACCGGGGGTCTCCAGGGGGAGCAGGTAAGGGGTGAGGGGGTGGTGGGGGTGAAGCGCTTGTTCCCTGTGGTCGGAAGAGGGAGAAGCGCTGGTTCCCGGGGCGGGGCGGACGTGCCTGTCCCCGGGAGGAAGGGGGTGACCCTGTCCGGGGCTTGCGGAAGGAAGGTGTCCTGGGGGGTCGGGGATCCTGGGGAGTGGCAGCCAGTCCCGGTGGTAGCCGGTGGTAGCCAGGGATGAGGAGGTCACCTGGGGAGGAACAGCCTCGGTCCTGGTGTCACCCAGAGAGGGGCAGCCCCCAAGTACCAGGGTCACCGGGGAGGAGGAGCCCCTGGTCCCAGGATCAGTCCCCCCCTTTTTCCACGCGCCCCGGGGCTCGCGGCGCCCCGTTGGGTTCGGCCGTTCGCCGGTCGCTGCCGCGTAGCGATGATGGCTGGATGGCTCTGGCCCGGTCGGAGGAGGCCGAGCGCCGCGGTCGGTATCGGGGAGCCGCCTGGGTGTCACCCCTACGCCTGCCAAGCTGAGGGAGAGTGCTATCGGCGCTGCCCCTCTCCGGTTCCAAGCGCTCCGCTCTTTCCCGTGGGCATTTGGCGTGGCAGCGGTGCCGAACCCCACGGACTGTCGTTATATCATCGCCGTGTTACTTCTTTAGCAGATACTTACGTTTAATGTCACGCTGCTAAAGGCTCTATCGGCATTCCCGAGTTAATTTCCGTGCGCGGTGTTCCATGGGTGGTTTGGAAGAGTTCAGGGTTTTGCTGGGAATATCGCTGAATTTGAAAGGGTGGTGTCTTAAAGTTTGTTCTAGTTGGTTTATCCACTATCCAAATTTATTATCCACAGTACGGGTGGGATCACTCGGTTCACAAAAGGAAAAGGCTCCCGCCGGTGAAAAGGTCTCTGGTGTACTACGTGAAAGGGAGAGAGGTCCGGATGCAGAATGAGTCCAGCTACCACCGCTTGTTGCATGGATACGCAGCCCAGCAGCTCCCCAGCCTCCTGAAGGAGAGGGAATTTCACCTCGGAACACTCAATAAAGTGTTTGCCTCCCAGTGGCTCAATCACCGACAAGTGGTGTGCGGGACAAAATGCAATACGGTGAGTGGCACCTCTCGCTGTTTCCCTTTCCTCTGTTAATTATTCCGCCTCTACCCTCAAAAGTTGCTTATCATAATCAAAGTGTGTGGATGGCCAGGGAAAACATTAGGAATTAGGAGTGGAGTCAAAATCGCGCCCAATTAACTGAACGAAAGCAAATGCTTAAGGACGATCTTTCTTCATCTGAAAATGTTGCACTGTAATTCCCAGTAAAGCACTTGTGTGATCTGTACAGAGTGATTTACACCTGGCTGTGGGATGAGGAGCAACAGTGGGATTGGATCTTTCCTTTTGTCCTGCAGATGAGAAGCTAATGGACAGATATTAGCATCTCTAATGGTGGCTGTCAGTGCTTGGCCGAACTTGCTGCTAAAGTTCCTTTTTTCTGTTATGTTCAGTCTTACACAGTTTGGTTTTACATATGTTTCTATGCTGATGGCTTTTAAAAGTTGTTCAAAAACTGTGGTTAAACTCCAGATATTTGTCAGAACAGCCAGAAATGTTCTGAACTTTAAAAAAAAAATAAATTCCAGATTTTCAGTGTTATCCTTTGCTTGTTGACTTTAGAATTATTCACTCTAAAACTGTCTCCAGTGCTTGAATAGCTTCTCTGGTTTATATATTTTTACATGCTTCTACAAAAACTAAAAACTCCTCAGATTCTTGAAGTGATGTTTTCAAACATTTCATGGGAATATTAAAATGGTGTCCTGTGGGACTAGTAAATGGAGGAGATCATATTTCTTAGGTAATATTCTCTCCGCCAGAGTTATTAGCCCAAGTTCATTGGCTGAGATAGCAGTTTCATGCATGGAGTTGTGATTGAATTAGTACAAAATCCTACACTGCAGGTTGGTTGGTGCCACAGAAGGGAATCAAGGGTTACAAGGAATGAATGCATAGGTGAAGCAGCTCTTAAATCTCAGAGTGTATAAATTGCTTCTTTGCCTCAAGATCTTTCTGTGCCATGCCAAAGCCATGCTCAGTGGTCTGACCAGCAAGGGACAGTGGGCTGGTTTTTTTTCCATTTTGGATGATTAAACATTCTGAGATGGTCTGTTATTATTCACAGTTGCACAGGGGGAGGCTTTTATGCAGTAGCTCTTAAGATGCAGAGCCTAACTGTATAAACAAAGCAATCTTTTAACAGCAATAAGCTGAAAATAGAATCTCTCTGCCTACTTTCTCCACATATGTTCATCTCCTCAGCCAGTCAGCAGCCAGCACTGGTTGTGGTTGTAGAGCTGCTTACAGGAGACAAACTCCTGCTGCAATACAAGCTCCCAAAAATCTTGCTTACTCTAGCAAGATGACTGTATGTTTTATAGAGTTGCAATAATTTTGCTGTGTTCTATAACTTTTGTAGCTCTGGCGCTTCTGCTGCAAAGATAAATGGACAAGTGGGTTGTTAACGCAACCTTGCAGAAAATTGTTGGGGACCAAACAATCATGGAGCTGAAGAGGGATTCAGCAGTATTGTTGTTCCCTTTGCACATGCTGCAGCCAAGGGTGCTTGTCCACAGCCAGACTTAGAGACGGACCTTCTCTGTCATTAAGCAAAATAGAGTGATTGCAGAAAAAGTCCCTGCAGCATTGTGAAAGATCATATATGAGTGCTGTAATAACTGTACGTTGTTTGCTTTGTGCTCACATTTGAACAAGTAAAGTGTTAAACTCTACACTCTAATTATGAGATCTTTCTCATCTCCTGAGTGTGTGACCTATTAACGAAAAATGCCTTTGCTTATTCTCATATGCTGAAGTTGTGGTATTCAAGCTGGGACTAAATCGAAAACACCTTGGTTGACTTCAGCAAGGTCTGCTGCATTGGAGTTGCACTTAATTAAAGTTAATGCAAGAGAAAAATACAAACTATAGCAGTTATTTTAATCAGGGCTTGACTGTGGCACTGAGTGCTTTTAGCATTTAATTTATAAATTGCCCATCACTGTGCAGTGCCAGGAGGATTCACTGTTCTTAATGACAAAACAAAAATATGCTCTTGTCATAGAGGAGGAGGTTTGGGTTTAGTCACTTGGCAGTACTAGTTACTATAAAAATACTGAAGAAAATATGGAGCTCTCTGTCAATTACTCTTTTTTGATGAATAATATGATCAGTTTAATTATGTGGAGTAACTTTTTATCCTTAAAACTATTCCAGGGTGTGAAATAACTTTATTCTTCTCCAGTGGATCATGGTGCTCATAGTTGAGCAGCTGTAAATCAAATATTTCGGATATTTGTGTTCTGCAGAGGTGCATGCTTTTTCTGGTAGATTTAGAATTATGGGAACTATTACAAGCATACAGGCACATAGAATTTCAAGGGAAATCATGCAGACCTTTCACCTGAGCTTTGCAGAGCCAGGATTCCCGTTTGTAAGAATTTCCTAGACTTGCATGCAATGGTCTCCATAATGTTTTTCCAATTAAAATGAATGAGCAGGGAACTTCTAAGGGGTGCAGATATTTAGGGTATGTTCTGATAGGTATCAAAATTACCAAAGACTGATGCTGTGAGGATATATAGAAGAAACAGTCTGTCACAGAAGAAGATCTGTAATCTGCAGTCTTCGCTTCAGGCTTCATTGAGAAACTCATGAGACTTAGGTAGGAGACAGGCTTACGGCAAACAAAAACATAAAATACGAGATTCCTGTGTTTTGGGGTTTTTCTTCCTCATTACTGTTTCAGGAAATCATGAAGACTAAAATAACGTCTAAAAAGAGGTTTCCGTAATTTTTCAGCTTCCTTTGCTCTGTTTGCTACATGTACATGTTCAGGATATAATCCTTTCACTAATTGCAAAGTTAAAGATGAAAAACTATAAGAGCTATAAATAATTACCTAAATAAAAGAAGCTAATTATTTTCCAGTTGCTTGAGAATACATTTGCTTGGAATCTAGTTCAGTTTTTTTTTCGTTTTTCCAGGCAGGCCAAATAGATGCATTTGTGTTTAAAAACTTCCTTTCTGAATGCTCTCTCCTGATTTCTCAAGCAGTTTTTCCAAGGCATCCATAGGTTGGTTTCTGAATGCTGGCTGAAAGCTTTTCTCTCTTCAGCAGATTGCTGTGTTGCCTTGGCTGACTTGCTGTAAATCATCAGCTCTCATTTCCTATTAGAGACTTTAAACTTGTTCAAAGAGATCCTACATTTGTTCTGTGCATCTCATACAATTAACAGCCCTGTCTTGTACTCCTGGGATTGTGGTGAGCGTACAGTGGGAAGTTCCTCCTCTGTCTGTGAATGTGAACTGTCTATGGGGAAAGTTATTTCCCCTTGCTTTACACGTTAATGAATCTTCTGGCTTTGTGTATGTGAGGAAGCGTCAAGATGACAGCACATTTCTGATCACTTGTTGGGAATGAGAAGTCTCCTCTAGTTTGTAGCTCTACTCAAAGTCCAGCGAGCAGTGACCGAAACTTGGCATAAATAAACCTCTGATGCCTGTAGCTGGTATTTCCAGTCACATGTCTTTCAGTAGCTTGTGACCAAATAGTCAGGTATTGCTTTCTTGTCTCAAGAGTATTTGCTTTTCTGTCAACTGCATGTGATACTCATGTCTGCCTGGTAGTGTCTGTGCCAGGTATGGTGAGAGTAGGGATGCCCTTTAGCAGATGTCTGTCACTTCTCCATTCTTTGCCATCTGTCAGCATGTATTAGCTGTCTCCTAGCCCCCTGAAATTAAACACAGAGGGTAAAATGCAAATAAAAAATGATAAATATGATTTTGACACTACACAAATGCAGTAACAACAAAGTCTGTGTCCATTAGCTGGTTGTGTTTCAAAGTTTCACAGAAAAGTGGAGTGCCTGATTTCATGGTCTTGTCTCTGGAAATGTGAATTCAAAGTCAACCAACTTGCTTGCTGCTTTTACCTCTCCTCACTTCTTGTGTGGTTTCTTTATATTGTGGATTGTTTTGCTTTTGACCCTTTCAACACGGATGTGTAAGGCCATTGTGCACTTGAGTTGACTCTACTGTGTAACCTGTGAGTAAGTTTTGTGCTAAGATTAGTGCATGTTAGTGTGGCAGATGTAGTTGCCATTCCCTGTGATGCTGGAAAAGTCATGGCAGTCAGATGAAGTCCCAGGTGACTGGAAAAGGGAAGCCATTGTACCTATCTTGAGAAACAGTAGAAAGAAGGACTCCAGGAACTACTGACTGTCAGCATCCCCTCTTTGCCTGGGAAGATCATGGGATCTGGTTTCCTCCTAGAAACTCTGCTAAGGCACTTGGAGAACAGGGAGGTGAATTGAGGCAACCAGCATGGCTTCACCAAGGGTAAGTCCTGCCTGACAGGCCAGAGGCTTTCTGTGATGCAGTGTCTGCAGGAGTAGACAAGGAAAGGATCACAAATGTCATTTTTCTGGACTTTTGTACAGCCTTTGACACGGTCCCCCACAACATCCTTCTGTCTAAATTAGAGGGAGATGGATTTGATGGATGAACTGTTGGGTGGTGAGGCATTGGCTGCATAATCACAGAGTACTGGTCAACGTCTCAGAGTCCCAGTGGACATCAGTGATAAGTGGAGTCCTTCACGGATCCATATGGGGACCAGTGTTCTTTGATACGATCATTAATGGCATAGGGATCAAGATCAATGGCATGGGGATCAAGTGCACTCCCAGCAAGTTGGATGATAAGACCAAGCTGATTGGTGCTTTGACACACCTGAAGGATGGGATGCTATCCAGAGGGACTGGACAAGCTCAAGGAGTGGGACCACGGGAACATCATAAAGTTCAAGGCCAAGTGCTGGTGCTGCACCTGGGTGAGAGCAGCCCCCGGTATCAGCACAGGCTGGGCATGAACAGACCCAGAGCAGCCCTGCCCAGAAGGACCTGGGGGTGCCGGTGGGTGAGAGGCTGGACATGGCCCGGCCATGGCACTCACAGCCCAGAGAGCCAAACGTGTCCTGGGCTGCATCCAGAGCCCCGTGGGCAGCAGGGGAGGGAGGGGATTCTGCCCCTCTGCTCTGCTCTGCTGAGACC